TTGAACTAACTTCTTTTTCATGCTCTGTTCCAAAGCAGTCCTGTATGGCTTTAATGATGGCCGGTAGAATCCTATTCAGATGGCGGGTAAGCGCATCACCTGCGACGGCAGACAGTATGGCCAGTGCACGAGTGATAACAGGTGGAGTGATGAGCTGAAAAAAAAAAACCCAACAAAAGGCAGCTCTTAAGAATACGTCACGCTTTCGCCGAAAACATTGCTGGCCTTCCTGTGACAGAAGTTAAGAAAAGATGTTGCGTAACATACACTCCAATAGTTCTGTTTCCTTCGATGCAAACTGGAGTTACAGATACTAAGACCACAGTTTGAACCAAAAAAATGTGTGCAACAGTTTCAGATATTCAAACTGCACCTCGTGCTATAAAGAGCTTAAGTTTCCGTTTCCACACTTTTTACTCTGAAAGGTTTGTGGCGATGGAAACTCTGACTGCGGATATTCAGTACATCTGTTTGTTCATGCATCCTTCCCTCTATTTGCCCCTCCATCTGTCCTTCCAACCCTTCTTCCATTTCTCCGTCCGTCTTTGTCTTCCGTCTACCCGTCTTTCCAACCCGCCCTTACTCCGTCTGTCCTTCCAACCCGCCCTCTACTCCCCTGTCCAGCTTTCCAACCTTTCCTCCCTCCCTCCCTCTATTTCTCCATCCATTTTTTTGACTTTCCCTTGTTCCGTCCTACAGTATGTCGGCCCGTCCTTCCGACCCTCCTTCCGTGCTCCCGGTGACTCCCTTCGTGGTCGTGACCCTCCCTACCTTCCGCGGTCCGTCGGTCCGTTCTTTAAGACGGTGGGTTAATCAATAGAGGTTGGTTAGTTTTACTTACCTGAGGTACTAGGAAAGGAAGTACGACTCTGCTCTTCACGGCCATGACCTGACGGAGCCCATCCAATGCGTACTCAGACAGAGAAGGGTCATCCTGAAACACGTCCACAGAGCCTCATAAGAATAAGTTCTCAATGCACTCTTTCCCATACGCAACAATTCGTACTTCTTGAGAATACAATTAGGACTGTACAAAATGGTGAGTGAAACGATTGGCTCAGATTACAAATTACTCAAGGATAACTTCTGACAACAGCACCTTGGGCTAATCTTGCTCTTCACAGGAAGAAGTGAAGAGCAACTAGTCCAATCGTACGGCTGGCATGATAGGGTGAGACGCACTTATGTGATGCATAAGGATCCCAAATATCTCACAAGAAATATAAACTTTTCTAGACGGGTCTCAAATCTGAAGTCTTTCAGATTATGTACTGAAGTAATAACAAGTTATGAAGAAGATTTTAATTAAAAACATGTACCATTTTTTTGAGTAAGTCAGGCAGAATGTCGTCCAAAGCTTTCGCTCCGATGGTGTTATGAAGCTGATCAAATGTTTTGGCCGCAGCCACACGCACTTCAGGCAACGGGTCGATCAAAGCACGACGCACCGTGAGTACCAGGGAATCAACATACTGTATTACCTGTAATGACCAAAGTAATAATAAAATAAACTTGCTGGCTCGTGAGGGTCTGGTAACAAGTACATGGACGCGGGAACATGGGACGAGATAAAGGAATGCAAGGAGGATAACAGCAGAAATTGTAGATTAATGAAGGTATGTTTGCACCGCGATTGGTTTGCGAGTTCACCACAGCGTGGATAACGTGCTACCCCCATCCAAGGAAAAAGTTTAACAGTGCTTCCTTAAAACCAGTCAGTCTGTATTTATTGTAATGGGTGTCTTTTGGTACCTGTTCCTTGCTGGTTGAGGAGACAATTTCACTGAGTCCAATACAAACTCCTTGTCTCTCATCTGACTTGTCGCTGTCCAAACCTCGCTCCAAAATCGGAATGATCTCCGGAAGAACTCGCTCACCAAGTTTGCGAACAAGGTCTCCCAGTGTGCGAGCTGCAACCTGGAATGAAAGAACGGTACGAAGAAACAAATTCAATAAATTGATAAAGAAGGGTATAAGCTTATTTTTTGCCTCTTTTTATTTCCTGGATTTCTTTTCTCCCTTTAAACCCTACGAG